CAAGTGTTGACCTTAAACAAATAGCCAGATATTTCGCCAGCAAAATGGATTTATTCGAGAACAACAAAGAATTACAATTCGGGACACATATCTAATGGTGAACAACACGCGAGTCCAGAGAAATCAATGAAGGGAACCGTCATTTGCGCGTTTGGGAGGGGCTGTTGTCATTGAGAGTCCGTTGGCGGACACTGAGTGCGAAGCCGAGTGGCTTCTCATTGGCTGAGTCGTGGCGGTCTCCCATTGGCCGAGCCGTTACTGGACAAGGCGGAACCTTTCCCTCCTCCTGCTGAGGTAGGGGAGCAGCGTCACTTCCTGTTGGAGATACGTGGTGCCCCTCTCCTGCTGGGGTTAGTAGTGTGCGTTGAGTGTTGCATGCATCAGAGTTCTCTCTTCCAGCCTCCCAATTCAGTTTTAAATGAGGTTTCTCTTTATTAATTTTCACACTAGTTAGGAAAAGGTACCCACATTGGTGCAGGACTTGGCTAGTGGACCAATCTTCGTTGGTACAAAAAGACACCCCTTCTCCGTGGCAATCACATCCCCTCCCTCACAGGCCATCGCTTGGAGGGGAGAAGCAAGCCCCCCATCCACCTCCTCAGTCAGATGCCCTGGGCAAGGTACACACCCTACGACTCCATGCAGCGGCCTTGTTTGGACCAATAATAATAATAATAATAATAAAATACAACGAAATAACGCCACTGCCCTCCCACCTCCCACTCTGGACAAAATCCCAAACCCCCAGATAAATAACATCAGATTCTATTGATTCTTGCCTGGAACTCCTGTTTCAGTGCTACTAAAGTTTGCTCCATAGACCAGTGTCACATTGCAAACTCTTGATTGCCAGTCCGCAAGAGTAAGTGGAGAAATTGAGAGGAAGTATTCAGAAACTTTTATAGCAATTTGATCTTGGTGCAACATTTTAATTGTACTTTACAAAGGTGTCAGTCTGCAAGGGATTGGAAATTTTAAAAACCTGTCCATCATCATGGATAGTTTTAAAAGCTCTGCCCTGCCACAATTTTTAAAGGAAAAAACAACATTTTACATCCTGCTCTACAAAGAGAATTGTGTGGTGTTTCCTTTTCCTGTGCTGTAGCTAGAGTATCTTCCAGTATGCTCGCACTTAGAAAGAGGTACAGTGGGGAGGGTAGAAAATGCAGCTATTCAGAACTGGTCTCACAATCAAAGTACTCCATTATCACCTTGTGAAATATAAACCAAGTGGAAAAATGAACGTTTCTCATTTACCATTTGTTGATTAATGAATTAAACATAGGTCAAATATACCTTGCTGCTGAGTTTTTCTTTTAATCTATCTATCCAGCATGGTTAATTATGGCTAAAGGTAGTTTGTGATAAGAGATATAAATGTTGATCTTTCCTATTTACCTACAACGATATGAATATTTTGTAACAAACATCATTTTCAGCACGCATCACCTCATCTCTGCTCCCATTTAAGGGAGTTATAAATGTGTCTACTTCGAATCACATAATGAAAGCTCCAGAACATTCAAACAGCTTTTCAGGTCTTTGTCTCAGTCATTAGTGTGCACCAGCTGCTTCTCTTCACCAAGCCCTGGGGTCCTGTCCCATGAAGCTCAGTCCAGAGGAGAAGCCGGCCCTCTCAAAAGTCTGGGCACAGTGGACAAAAGCTGAGACTTCACAGGTACTGGAAGGAGTCCCAAGTTGTCTCCCAGTTTTTTTGTTGGGGATGGCAGTGATTAATAGAAATTGGGCCAGGAGAGTCTCAGACTTTTGTGCTTGTCCTTATAAATCTGTCGATGCATGATAAAGTGCAATGGCGTAAACTCATCACCACCCATGAGGCATTCTAGTGTTACCGATATGGCCTCATTCCACATTTGCAAACTTATGGGTGAGCAAAAAGAAATTGTGAAATGCTCTGCTGATACTCAGTTTTGACTGCCAACCTCTATTTGGTTCCATCTAGATGTTCCATTCGAGGTTTACAAATTAGGAACACGAAAATTTTCTTTGCTTAAAAATAGGCTATTTCAGGGATGCTTCTTAGAACACATTCCTAGTTTAAATAAACCACTTGTACGGAAATGGGCTTTACAACCCAATCTGGACTAAGCTGAAAATACTTAAAGCAAGCATTTTTTAATTTTAGAAAATTCTCTTGACTAAACTTTCCAAGAATTATTACAAATAAGTGATACTGGTGGCAGTAAAGTGACTGAAATAGCAACCTAAGACCTGAAGATACTGACTACAAGGACCAGTAAATCAATCATACGCAGAAACTTGGTTTTTTTCCAGAGACACCAGGTAGGAACAGAACTTAAACATCCCACGCGCGGTCCAGACATCCCGGCTAGTTCTGAAGCACACTTGTCCCATACAGAGCTCTCGTTTCCTCAAACACATTCGATGACCTTCAAGTGCAGACACACGGCATACGCTTGCCTGTGCTACAGAGCGCTGGGGTCTTGGGGTTGCTGAATACACGAGTGAACAATTTTTCTGTTACTAATAAATCATGTCAATCCAGCGTAATCCAGATAAGCTTTCATTTTCTTGGCCTCCAGGAATATGGCAGGAGTAAAGCCAAAGTGAATTAAGGGAAGACACGACAATTTTGAACAAATATCATAGAAGAGACTGTACAATTTGGACCCACTTAATTTTGTGTCTGACTATAAACATGACAAAAATAGAATCTGAAGAAAACTGAATGACTATAGAGAAAAGTATACCTATATATAGTTAATACTAAGGTAATGTAACAATAGTCAATTTGTGACAAGCAATCCAATAGACTGTTAAAGCTTTAAATCCATAAAACTATAGAGTATATTTTAAAATTGTACACAGTAAAATCGTAAGCAATGTGAAATGTTCTTATAAAAAGAATCGCTTACCTTTAGGAACTTGCTACTTAAGAGAACACTAAGATGGGATGAATTAGTTCATCCTTTATTCATATTTATAGGTTTTCACGTATCAGGTTAGTTATCAATCCAAAAATATTTATCTTCTTTAATGTAGAATTCCCAACATTTTCAGAGTACTCAGAAGTTAGATTTTATTTTCCTTCCCGTGATCAGCTTGGATAAAATTAAACTGGTGTTTCTTTGATCTCACCAAAATATGTGAAGATCATCTGCTATACAACGATAACAAATATGTCCATCCGAAATTCCTTCGCAGGAAAGTCCTCGGAAAATGCACATGAATGCCCGCTGACCTGGGCTCCTCCAGCGCTAGGTTGGCCTGGGGTTCTGTGTGCACAAAAGCAGGCCTGGGGGCTCTTCCCTGGCTCCCTCACAGTGGAAATGACTGGTTCCAGACTGTGTCACAGCCCACATCCAAGAAATTCAAGTCGCCAGGGTGGCCCTGAGTTAACATGGCTTCTTGGGGGAAACTTTCAAACGAGAGCATCCCTAGGATGAAACCAAGAGCCACCACCTGTGGTTGTTTCTTTACTTTGGAGATGAAGTTAAACCACGATTTGCCCAATCCGTTTGGTCACCTAGACCTCCCTTCCATTGGATGTCTACACTGAGCATCTTTCAGTCTGGAGGAAATACTCAGATGAGGAGGGTGTGATATAAAGATCACGTGAAAAGTAAAAGAAATCCAAGTACCAGGTGGGGGATTTAAACTTGCCTCCTACCAAAAAAGTCCGTCTTGAAGATAACCAAAGCTCGTCCGAGGACAGACGGTGGTGACGGGTGCACAACAATGTGGACATAAGAACGCCACTGAGCAGTACATTTAAAAACGGCTAAAATAGCAAATTTTAGGATATGTATATTTTACCGCAATAAGAAAAGTCAGTCTTATACTAATATTCATACAACCTCTCAGTATGCCCAAAATTTAAGAGAGAAACATTCTCAGATCAGAAAAAGACAAGGGTATATGCATTTGTTTTTGCTACAATTCTCTCGTCTAAAACATATAAGGTTAAAAAGCCATTAAATGTTGGCATCACGTAGTAAATTCACCTCCAATTTATTGTGGGCATTTAAAAGTGGTGCTAATTTATATGCGGTTCCCGTTAATTTGTTTGGTTCATTTAATATACATCCGAATTAAAAACAAAACACAATAAAAACACCCAATACCTCCTCCCTTAAAATCGTGTTTTGATGCCTTCCCAAAACATAGCAACTATTTAAAGGTCTTCTTTACTTTTCACTTTTCACTTTCATTTTATTGAAATGTCTTTTCTTCCCACAATTTGGTCTTCCCCTCTATTTAAAGGGTCCTTACCCCACTCTGGCCTGTCCCCCAACACACAGTTAAGGTTAAACATAATGGATGGATATGTCATAGAGCCACAGGCTGCCAGTCCCTATGAGAAAGGAATTGGTGTGCAAATAGTTACACTGGGGAAGGAGATGCAAGGTGAGTGGTAACACACAAATGCCAAGTTGGTACCTGGACAGCTCCGCTGGAGCCAGCAGTCCAGAGCAGCAATTCCAGGAGAGTCAGTCCCAGCAGCCTGCTGCAAGCTGTCCTCATGTCTGCTGGTGGACACAAAAGGTACACTTCATTTTTCTGCGTCACAGTAATAGGTCAAGGGGATAACTCCCAAATGTGTCAATTAAATGACAGGGGTTATGCGAAACCACAGAGGCCTCGAAGCAGGAAAGGGCTGGAGAGATCAATTACAAACTGCTGTTTTGTGTGGCTCTTGAGGCAACGCAAAGCACCTGGGTCTGAGCTCATTACTCTCCAAGCAGAAAATAAAGTGACAGCGGGCACGACGCAAGGCATGACTAGATGTCTGGCGTATGTGGTCCATACAGGGGATGACCCCATTCCAAAAAAGTCTGGATGTTATTTTCATACACTACCGTATTTAACGTACCTCTTTTTTATTTATAGTAGAAATAATAAGAAAATGTAAGAAAACGTCAGCCTCAAACATGTGATTTGTGGGTACATTATGATACTGAAGGAAGCCACTCTTAGAAGGGATTTGTAACTTCGAAGTAGTAGATCACTAGCCAAGATTTTAAAAGTTATTTTGTATTTATTAAAATTCACAACAGACTAGCAAAGTACCTCCAAAATAAAGACTACCAAAATAAACGAGAAAAGTATTTCCAAAATAAAGATGACCAGGAATTAGTTGCTGTAACATATTACCATAAACCTAGTGACTTAAACAACACAAATTCACTATCTCACAGTTCTGGAGGTCAGAGGTCCAACGCAGGTCTTACGGGGCTGAAACCCAGGCCCTGGCAGGCTGAGCTCCTCCCTGGAAGCCCCAGGCGGGAATCTGTGCCCCTGCTTTTTCCAGCTTCCAGCTACCTTATTCCTTGGCTCATGGCTCCTTCTTGCATCTTCAGCACCAGCCATGTTGCATCTCCTTCTGACTGTGCTTCCGGATTCCTCATTTCCCTCTGACTCTGACACTCGTCCAAGTCCCTCTTCTACTTTTAAGGACCCTTGGGATTATACTGGTTGAACCTAGAATAATCTCCCTTTTTCGAGGTTAGTGGATTAGTACCTTAATTCTACCCGCATCCTTCTTCTCCTTTGCCATTCAACCCAATATAGTCACAGGTTTGGGGGATTAGGATGTAACATCTCTGTAGGAAGCGGGGGCCATGATTCTGCCTACCAAACATTAATTACATATGTAACTACACCACAGTTTAATATTTTCATGGCAGTTCAATAATTGTCATTCGGTTGCCTTAATGTACAGAATTTATCTTTTATCTATGTAAAATGTATTAAACTGGCCAGATGCTACAGTAACAAAAAATGTAGAGATATAAAATAAATTGTACAACATTACGAAGTAGTGGTTCTTTGTGTGTATGTGTTTATCTATGCATGTATAAAACTATACATATGAGCATGTGTGAGTGTATATATATGCACACACGCACATAATTTTACAGTTAATCAAGTGGTTCTAGAAAATCGATATGCCACAGAGATTCCTGGGAAGGTAATGCTTACAAAATAAGGCCATATTTACGAGGATCCAAAATCAACCAAAGACAAGATTCTTGAAGAAGACATAAACGTTAAGAGATAAAGAAATTCATTCTTTCTCGGCTAGTTCTTTTCCCTACTCATTTTCTTCTCTATTTTTTCCTGTTGTTGTTCTTGTCCAAATTAAACGTTCTCGTGCTCTTAGAGGCCCGCCATGTGTGAAGTGACCACAGCCCTATGAACGAGGACAAACCAGCAACCCACACAGATATCAGTGCAGCTACTTTGGAGGAAATCACTGAAAAACAAAGAAAAGTCCCTTGTATGCAGGTGCATCCAGTGTACCTGTAACTCCAAAGAAGAATGCCCTAATAATTCCGTCAGTGGCTGTGACACTAGCTTTGGTTTTCCACAATCGTTTTCCTTGGGAGCGTGACCACTGTCATTGGCAGGTGCCCGGTACATGCCAGACTTAAAAGACGGGAATGTGGTAGTGGCAGTCATTCTCGGTCAGCAGGGAGATCTCTGGCCACTCCCGGAGTGGGTCCTCTGGGTAGCAGACTTCAAAGTCCCTGGAGTTAAACTTGAACAGTCTGAACACTTTTATCTTGACTTCAAGGGTGTACCCAAGTATAAACATATCAATCTGGAGAAGAGATGAAAGAGAAGTCACAGACACACATTTCCAAATTCCTGCCCTCCCACCAGCGGGGGGAGCGTGTTCTTGGGCAGCTCGTGAAATAATGTTCCCGTTTACAGACCCACCCACAAAGCCCTGAGTGGGCACAGAGTTAGGAACAAACGTCCAGCACATGGAAGGCAGGGGACCTCTCTCTAGACCGGCATGAAGAAATCACAGGGAAAAGTTGCTTGGGAAAAAAAACTAAGAAAACGTAAAGACGTGCTCCTAATAAAAATTATACTGTTGTCCAACAGTTTTATATTGTTTTAAATCAATTTGTATAAAGAAGTCAGATGATTTGTGTACCTCCTAGGAAAGCAAAACAAAACCAAACTAAACAAAAACTCCTTTCTATGGGGATATCAAAGCACTTCTTAGATTTAAAAAATTCCACGATTTCTGTTTATCTGCAGTAAGTGACCAAATGTTTTCCCAAACGTTCTCTCATTTTCCAGCGGGGCTTTCTCCTGGTTGACCTCCTTGGTGGGAGAACCTGTTAGTTACTGGGAAGCAGTGTGCAAGGACAGAAAGGCTCCCAGCACTGGGCTTCTCTGGCCACAGGGCTGGAAAGACACACAGCAACGAGCCTGGAGCAGTGAGGCTCATTATGCTTCTTTTCCTCATTGGAGAAGCAATACTATCACCCACCACCTCCGTGCAGCTGCTCTTATCACCGCTGAAAGCAGACTCCAAAACCCCACGTGTTCAAGTACCGCCAAGATCATCCTTAATCAAAAACACACGATTCTTCTGCCCCAGGTACCTGCTCTAGTCCACATGTGTCGCCTACAGAATTTAGGTGATTCATCATGAAGCTCAAAGGATCAGATGATGTTTCCCGGGAAAACAGGAGTCTAAAAAGACTGGGAATGACCTTTTTCATCTTCATTTGTTCGTAAACTTCGGTGACTTGATAGAGCATGATGAACTTTAAAGCTTCATACAGTTTATATTCCAGACTGGCATCAGAAAAAAGGATGTTGCACATACTCCCTCTCTTGTGATAATCCTTAATTCCACTGAAGTGAGTCCACTAAACACACAGATGGAGAAGTGAAATTAGAAAGGTAAAGGTGAACACATACGCCATACATAATTTTTTAAAGTACTTATAAAATAAACCAAAGACTTATAGAGGGAAGTGGAATTTTTCATTTTATATCTTTTGACACTAATTTTTTAACCATAAATATATGTTAATTTTACAATAACAAACTAGTTTCAATGAAATATTTTTTTCAAAAAAGTACCACCTACTAAGTAAAATACTCAGCAAGTCAGTTTCCTAAAACTGCTTAGGATAGCTGAGTTACACGGAGGCTACCCCAGTGACCAAGGATGCTGGCTAGCAATCTTTAACGCCCGCCGTGTGCCAGGCACGGTTTAAAGCACTCTACATACATTAACTCATTGAATCCTCATGATAACCATATGGGGTAGATACTGTGACGGCTCAGTCTTACAGATGAGAACACTAGGGCACCGAAACATTATGCTGTTTCCCAAGGAGGATTCATTCCAACGATCCAACATCTGTGTCTTTATTAAAGACAGGAAAACCTCTGAGTCAAATTATAGCATGTGCGCTGTCTCCAAGTTATTAATAAGGCGAGTCCCAGAGGGCATTCCT